TATATTACTATAGAGTAGGTCCTACTACGTTAGTATTATATATTTATTTCTTACCTATAGGGCTAGTAGTAAATTATTAGTAAAATATATAGTAAAAGTGCTTTTACTTTCTTAGCTATATCTATATTACTTATACTATTTAAGTACTTATTAGTTACTTTATTTCTTAATATAGCTTACAAGGCTATAGTTTATATACCTTAGGTAATTATTACCTAGGCTTATATCTTATTATATACCTTACTAGTATAGCCTTATAAAGTAGTATAAAAGGCTACCTTTATATAGTATTTACTATATAGTTAATATAACTTAGCCTTAATTCTTTATACTTATTTAGTAAGGTTAAGTTTACTTATAATATACTTATTAATTTATTACTAATATTATATATCTACCTACTAATTATTAGGCCTTTATAACTTATTTATAAAGTAATAAAGCTATAATAAATAAGAATTAAAGTATATAAGGCACTTTACCTTTTTACTTACACTTTATTAATAGTAATATCCTTTATTAGTTAATTTATTCTCCTTTACTATATCTTTACTACACGTTAGGTTATTATTACTATTACTTTTAGTTAGGCTAAATACACTATAGCTTACTTAGCTATAATATAGTAAGTTATTAGTAAGGGCTTTAAACCTCTCTAGTGCTATCTTATAAAAAGACTACTAGTTAAGATTATTTTAATTACTTATTATTTTACTAGTTACTATATATAAATCTAGCTAGAAGCTAAGTAAGCTACTTTATAAAGTAGTAATAAGGTTTTTAAACTAAATTAATAGCTATTAGTAGTTAAGTAAATTAACTTATACTAATTTAATATAAGCTATATTTTATTTATTAAGCTATATAGTAAGATCTTTTTTAGTAGTTAAGGCCTTTTACTAGGCTTTTACTAACACTTTATTATACTTATTATAAGTATACTTTATACACTTTTTTTTAGTTATTCTTACTACTACACTAAGCTTAGTAAGCTATTTAGCTAGTAATTTATTAGATTTATAATATCTTTCTTAAAGATCTATAGATATAGTAGATTTAACTATATTAGCTATATCTTTAATATCTTTTTACTAAGTAATATACTTATATACTTTATTATAATAGTAGCTTATCTAGCTATTTAAGTATATAAGATTATATAAGTTAAGATTATTTAGTGTTATTATATATTTAGTTTTATATATAAGCTTATTAAGTATAGCTATAATAGCTTTACTTCTTACTATATATAGCTATATAGTTACTTACTAAGATATCTTAGTAATTACTATAGCTATAGTAACATTTTAGTAAGTAGTAAGCTTATCCTTAGTTAAGGCGTATAAATATTACGTTATAAGTAGCTTTATAAGTTTCTTTAGATATATTTTAAGGATTAATTAGTTTACTACTATAACCTTTAGGTTAATATACTCCTAAAGATTATAATACTTTACTTTTACTTATATAGCGTTAAGCTATATAGACTAATTACTATATAATTATAAGAGAGTTACCTTATTATTATAGTTCTTATTAATTATTATAATAGTACTTAATTAGTAAATAGGTATATTAGTTATTATAAATATATATATTAGACTATTAATTATTAAATAGTAAGAATTATAATAGTTACTTAATTAATTCTATTATATATTATATAACTATAGTAAATTTCTATAGAAATAGGGAAAAACCCCTATTTCTTAGTTAGGAAATCTGTAGCTAATCTTAGTAATATTATTAGTAAAGTTACCCCTAAAAGTAGGGCTAATTTACTGCCTATTCTCTAACAATTTGCTATAGGGCAACTATGTATTTACTAGCTAATTTATATATAATTCCGCTATATTTAATAACTTTCTCTCTATAGTCTGTTACGTTAGTAGCGTCTAAAACCTCCTGCTTAGTCTATGTGTAGAAATTACTACTTTTCTAGAAACTAGAATTTCTAGAATCTAAGATAATAAATAAAATAAAATAGCTATAAATCTCTAGTTATTTATCTAAGTAGTGTATTCCTAGATCTACTATAGACTATTTTTATTTAATTTACTTATATATTTATAATACACTACTTTAGATTCTAGGAACTCTAGCCTAGACGCTACTAGCGTAACAGGAAAACTTTTAGTAGTTACGTTAGTAGCGACTAACGTCTAAATCCCAGGTTAGTTACCGCTAACGTAACCACTCAAACTTTTCCTATTACGCCAGCAGCGTCCAGGCCAGAGTTTCTAATATCTAGAATTTAAAAGAGGCATAAATAGTATTAAATCTAAGGAGATTTATATAGCTATATAAGATCTTTATCTACTAATTTATATTTTATATATACTTAACTATATATTATTTCTTTTGTTATCTTAGATTCTAGAAATTCTAGTTTGTCTCACCCTGTACTTTTGCTCTTGACACTGTTTGGATCTATTCCTATTCCCGCAGCTGGCTATGGCATTCCGGGCATCGCCAACCCGACCCTTGCCATCGTCAACACACCTAGTCCATGAGAGGTTAGCCTGCACGCCAGTTAATATATTTCCCTGCGACTGTGCTTAGTTGCTTGGCTGGATGGTGGCTTTTTGTAGAGAACCTTTCTTGCGTTGTGTTTGGCTGCATCGTATTACCTGTCTATACTATGAAAAATAGGGGACTCAACGTCTAACACCAACACATGATGAGGCCGTACCCATTGAGAAACTCAGCATCCCGTCTGCTCTCCTAACGATAAACTACTGACGGGAGGCTTATCTGGGGGATCAGGATTGGATCCCTTGCTGACTTAGCGGGTAAAACGGTGCCTGCTGTACGGTTTGCCGTTTGTAACTACTTCAATTCTCCTACCTGCCCTAATAGAATTTTCCTTCTTTTACGTCCCCTTGTCCTTCCTACCTTGAGCTTTTATCGTTAACTTATTGCTATTTATAGCTTCTCCCCTAGTCTACTCCTTATGTTCTATGTCCTGTAAGGCGTAGCTATACGTAGGGCTGTCTGTTAGGCCTCTAGACCTCTACGCCCAACTTTCCCCCTAAGACTGCTTATGTTAATGTCAAATATAGCAAAAGTACACATAAGTTTGCTAGTAAATACACAGTTACCCTATAGTAAATCACTAGGGAATAGGTAGTAAGATAGCCCTACTTTAATAGTAATTTTACTAATAATATAGCTAATAGGCAGTAATAGCCCTCTTTCTAGCCGTGGCTTTATAGAGCTTAATTATTCCTACTAGGTTAGACTATCCTGTTCATGTACGCCAGCAAAGTTAACAATACATATAACCTTATGTATGCTCTTGGTGTCTAAGCCTGCCAGGGGTGGCCTTACTATCTGACTACAGAGTAATGCTTACTTCAGGTAGCAGGGAATGTATAATACGCACCTGTCAGAAGCTTACACCAATATTTACTCCAAATTAAGCACTGCCACTACTTACTATGTAAAACTTAATAGGACTCTCCGCTTCTGCTAATGCCTAGCTAACATAAATTATATACTATACAAGAGCGGATTATTCCTACAAAACAAACTACATAGTGTCTCTTTGTCTCTATCGGAATCTGCCCCTACTACCTATAGCTTTACTTATTAAGAATCGACATCATTACCACCAGCCCCACGCCACGCCACTAACACCACGCCACGCCACGCCGCGCCACACCACCAGCACCACACCCACAACTTGTAGGTGCTTACACTATATACTGCCTCACATCTCCCTAGGCACTGCGGCATCACAACCTGTTCCTTCCACCAACCAACAGAGTAGGACCTACCTTCCTAAGTACCTACCCAAGTAGGTTGGCAGCTCTTCCTCTTACGTTTAATAACAGAGTCTGATTCTGCTGTAATAATTGACTTTTCCTCCTTCACCTCGTTATCTTTTACCTACATCGTCTTATCGTCAAAAAGCTTTTAACACTTAGAACTACAAAAAGGACCCTTATAGCTCCTTTAGTACTAGCAGCGCAACATGTCTTCTAAACACTTAAAACTTACTAGTATTATTAAAAACTGCCCCTACGCCTATTTACTTCTAGTGCTAACACTTTATGCTTGCTTTATAGAAATCGTAATGCTGCCGCTGCCACCGCCACCGCCGCCGCCGCCCCTTTAATCTAATGCTACGCTTGGTCTCTTTGATGCGGCTGACTACATCATAATACTTTCCTAAGAGATTACTTGCGTTGGCGGAACCATCCGGGAGAAATCCGTCCCAGATCTAAGGCTGCCTATCTCTAAGCGCCCCTTAGAGAGAACAATGGCCCTTAGATACGTTGTGCAGGCTGCAGACGCGCTACTTGCCTATACTAATACTGTTACAAAAGAACAGCATAGCTGCTGATAGATGGCTTAGCAGGGGCAGCAGAACGTGATAAGCCAGAGGCTATTCCCTTTATAGACAGTCTAAGTATTCTTTATTAAGTCATTAAGAGGCAGGGGAAGTTAGGAGACATAAGGAGTCCTTTACAGTATAACACATAACATAGAATACTTTAATATACTAATTAATTTATAACAGATAAAATACGTTAAACTCTATGTTAATTAACTATATGCTGCTACTAACTACTTCCTACTCTCTCCCTTTTCTACTAGCTTTGCTCTTTCTTTCCTACTATGCCTGGATAATGTCCTAGCAGGAGGAGCCTGCAGGTCCCTGTGCCTTATAACTTGTTATATTCATGTCCACCTGTTCCTTCTTCTTAAACAGATAGTGATTTGCATTTAGAACGCATTTGTCATCTGTATTTAGAGCGCATACAGTATCTAAATGCTATTTATATACATAAGGACAGCTATCTATCGTGACAACAACACAATAACGACAATAACAACAACAATAACAGCCACTACTAGCACTAGCACTAGCACCATCACTATTACCACTTATGTCTTGTTTATGTTTTCTTCTTCTTCTTGTTTTTAGAAATCCGTGTCTAGTCCTCGCCCCCGCTATGTCGTTGTTTCTCTCCGCTAGCGACAGCTCTCCCTTTATGTCCGCGCCCAGCACTCCCACTCCCCCTCCCGCTTACGCTCCCGCTCACACCGCCGCCACTAACTTCCAAGCTCCCCTCAGCATCCTCCCACAGCAAGACCCGGCCGTCAGCACCATCCTCTCCGAGCTCGACCGCGCCCTCAACCACCTAGCCCACAGCCCCAGCGCCACCATCTCCAACATCTTCCCCCGCCTCCAGTCAGCGTTCTAGAAGTCAGCCTGGGCTATCAACGCCGCTAGGATCACCGCCCAGCCGCCCAATGCTTCCGCCGCCATCAATATACAGGACTTCCCCGTCTGGCTCCGCGGCAGGATCCCCAAGCCCCGCCTGCAGGCCACCCTCTTCCCCGTCTTTAACGCTGCCATCACCGCCATTAAGGACGCCAAGAATAAGGTCCTCCTTACCTGCCTCACTACCGCCGCCAGAGACCTCTAGTGCTCCCTCTACAACATTTTTCTAGACTTTGGCGACACCATCGCCACCTTAACCTACGCCCTACCTAAGCTGTCTAAGGCTCAGAAGAGCGTCCCCGCCCTCTCCCGTAACAAAATTGTGCACGCCCTTTAGGCAGAGACCCTTGCGCGCCTGGACCTTAGCCCTAACGGCCTGCTAACGCTAACCGTTTAGGAGCTAACTAAAGCTCTAAATAGTATATTATATATCTTCTATGCCCCTATTATTACTTAACGCATGTCTTTATCACTACCTACTAGATAACGTAAATAACCTTACTTAACCTTACTCTTTAATTTCTATATATATATATCTTAGATCCTATTCTTACCTCTTTTAGGCTACTCTAAACTATAACAGATAACATCTAGCTTAGGACTTAAGCTATAATATATACCTAACAGTCTAACAACTTACCCCCTATATATTTTAGTAATTATAGAAAGGAATGTTAGTGTAGCTAATATAACCTTAGATCTTCAGCCCGGCATTGCCTCCTGCGCTAGCTCTGTTGCCCCGTCCTGCGCCGGCTCTGTGGCCCTGTCCCTCCCTGGCTCCCTCCCTAGCTCCCTCCCCGGCTCCTGCGCTCCCTCCCGCGCCGCCTCGCTTGAGCCGAGTGCTGCGGCCTCGCCCGACCACCACATGCTGCCGCCGCCGCTGCCACTTCGCTCCAAGCTGCCAAGGGCATCCAAGAAGCAGGCCGCCGAAGTCATGTCCGCCGCCGCCGCCGCCGCCGCCGCCGACACCCCTCCCGCCAAGCGCCGCAAGACCATCGCCCCTGTCGAGCTTCCGCGCCGCCGCAAGCTCTCCCTCCTCTCTGACGACGGATCCTCCTTGGCTGTCGCAACCCCTGTCCTAGACAAAGCTGGCCCCAGGCTACAGACACTACCTGTTGGCGGCGAGTCGCCCAGTTTTGGCTTCTTTAGGGAGGAGGAGAACGACGACAAGCAGGAGGAGGACAACACAGCCAAGTGTGTTAAGGCTTGTCGCCGGCTTTTGGCCATTAGCGGCCGCGACGGCCCCGCCATTAACGACCCCGTCCTCTGGGGCGCCCTAAGCCTCCTGCGTAATAGTGCGTATTGGTTTGTCACCAGGGCTAAGGCAGATGCAGGCGACAACAACAAATAAGTGTTTTTTTGTTTCCGTGCTCATAAATCCGTTCTAAGCACAGTCTTTAGGGTTAGTTATCTGTTTTTACTTTATAATATAAGTTATAGGACAGGTTGACTTGACATAGCAGGCGTCCTGAACATGAGTGTCTTTATACTTTAGAGCCAAATCTCTGGCTAGTGTCCTAACCTAAGTATTGTTAAGGCGGGGACGCTGTCCGCAAACAAGTTCAGGATGACAAACGACTTTACTATGTGGGGGAACCTGCGGTAACGCATCAACCAAGGCGGCTAGGGTGTAGTCTGCTATGCCTTGCGCCATGCCCTTAGATGTGCCCTTAAGTAGGCCTAGATAAGAATAGTGGTGCTGTGCCATGGAATTAACTGTGTCACTGTAGCCCCAGTAGGTGAACCTGGAAGCCAGACGGTTGAACGAGCTCAAGGTTGGGTTTCGCTCCGAGAAAGCGGAATATCACGTACGTGATGACAGCAGTGGATGACCTGGTCGCAACGACGTTGGGCGACAAGACTGGTGCTAGTCGTGAATTCGAAGCCGCGGAAGCAGGGTCCAAGGATTGAGGCCTGTGTTGGCCGTGGTCACCATTTCGTTCCAATGTCAGAACTTCTTAGCCATGTTGTCGAGTTGGGCGCAGTGAGTCAAGTACTTAATGCAAGTTATAGGCCGATAGCTCCCCTGGCTAGACGCACATTAGCTTAGAAAATTAACAGTGGTAGACAATCCTTATAGAAGACAGGGGTCGTTATAGCCCAAGTAATGCTGATATAATCTAGTCTCTTAGACTTTAATCACAAGCGGTTAGTGTAGAAGCCATAAATAGGGGTCATCTCTTATTAGTATAGCATAGTTAACAAGTAGTAAATTACAAGTGACGCTAAGAACACAACGCTTCGTAATACATACTCTATCTTGTAGTCAAGAACGTTTTACTATACTTACCTATCCTTTAGAAACTTATCCCAATTAACAACAGCTATAAGTCACTTTTATTAGCAGCAACATACCTTAGACATAATAAACAAGCAACTTAAGTAACATTAGCATAGTAACCACAAGACTAGATAGCTTGTGTAGTCTTAACTTAGCTCTAATCTTACTAATGTACGCCCTAGCAAATAATAATGCTACCTAGGCTAAGACATAGCTTTTATTATTCTAAAAGACAGCATTACTACTAGTAGGATAAGCTAGTGTTACGACCTAATAAGTTACAGGCTATGTTGCCCCACCTGACAGACGGATAGTAGGCAGCAGCAGCATTTATATAGATAAGAAATAGGGAACAGATAAATAACTCCTTAGAACAGAAGAACTATAGTATAAGTTATATAACTATAAGCATAAGATAAAATAAAGAATAAGCGCTTATTTATAAGTAAGATAAGCGCTTAGTAGATACCTAAGTAAGTGCTTATTTTACTTTATAACTATTAGTTAAAGAAACTATTTAAGGAATAGTTAGGACTTATATATAAGATAGACTTAGATATACTTAAGGACAGACTTTTATAGCTCTTTAGTAATTAACTTATAATATATTCTTTAAATACTTTTTAGTATTTAACTTTAGTAATTTAATTAATAAAAAGCTATATAAGCTACTTTTTAACCTTAGCCTTAACTAATTACTAAGTAATTAATAAAATAATAAGAATAATAAATACTATTAACTAAGTATTAACTTTTACTTACTATAAGTAAAAACCTTACTATTTAAAAACTAGCTATAATACTTTAATTACTTTTATTAAGTAAGTTAACCTTAATAGTTACTTAATAGTATTTTATAATACTTATACTTAAGATAACTTTAACTTCTTTTAGCTTTAAGAAAAACCTAACTACTTTAGCTAAAAGCCTAAGTAAGAAAATAAAAGGTATTAAAAAATCTAATAATAAAGTAGACTTTACTTAAAGTATATATAATAAGATTTAATAATATATAAAGTAAAATAATAATAATATAGCTTATAAATAAGCTATAATTAATAATATTAATAAGAAACTAAATACTAAAAACCTTAAAGTTAGCTAGCTATAAGGTATAATTTATAATACTATTACCTAACTAAAAAATAAAATAGCTAAGGCTAAAAAACTAAATAAAGAAGTTACTACTTTTAAAAGTACTATAAATATTATTACTATCTTAGTTAATAAATATAATAAACTTAAACTTAACTTACTTAGAACTTATAATAAAACTAGTAAATAGCTAAAAAGATTTCTAATTAAAGTTTATACTTATTAAACCTTTTATATTACTAACTTTAGAAGTAAGACTAAATAGGTTATTTATATAAGAACCTTTTTATAAAAAAAAGCACTCTCTTAGTTTATATAAACCTTACCTAAATAAATTTCTTAAGTATAATAATAACCTTATTATATACTTTTATAAGATATAAAATATCTTTAGAAGTATAACTAGCTTTATAAAGGCCTTATAGTTACTATTTTAAGATCTTAATAAGAAGTAATAGGCTAAGTAAGACCTAGTTAGCTTATAATAAACTAAGTTAGCCTCTTACTATATAGCTAAATTCTAATAATTAGCTACTTAACTTAATATTACTTAAGAATTACTAATTTTTACTTTTTACTAAGAACTTAAAAGTAATATTAAAAATAAGTTTATTAAGATTATTAACTTACCTAAAGACTTTTTATTTTATATTAAACTTACTGTTAAAATTAATATATAACTTTTTAAAGTATATAAGAAATAAAAAAAAACTTAATAACCTAGTACTAATATAAGTAAGAAGTATACCTAAGGACCTAAATAGCTATACTAGTAGAATAAAAAATAAAATAACTAGTAGTAATTATATAATAGTTATTTAAATACTAGTTATAAATAATATTTAAGACCTATAGTTATTAGTTTACTAAAAAATAGGATTAGTAACTAGTATAAAACGCTAGTATAGTTAAGTATTATAATTATAAAAAAGAATCTACTTTATATAAGACTATAAAATAAGAACCTACCTAAGTACGTATAGAAAGCTAGTGTAGCTTAAAAGGAGACTTCTTATAAATAACTCTTATAGACTACTTACTATAATAATAACTACTTTGCTTATAAAGATAGTAAGAAATAAGTAGGATAGTACTTAAGAAACCCTAAGGATACTACTAAGGTAGCCTAGTAAAAATAGTTTATAATAATTAATATAAAAGAATTCTATAACTAGATTAAAAAGAAAGAAATAATAAAAACTATAATAAAAAGACTATATAATAGCACCTTAAAAGAAACTACTAATATTATAACCTAGGCTACTAAGCTTATAGATATTTAGTAAATTAACTAATAAACTATAGTAATTACTTACTAATATAGAAAAGAAAACTAAAAATAGGTAAAACTATAATATTATTATAAGATTTATAAAAACTTATAAATAGCTAAGAACCTAGTAACTTAATATACTCAATATTAAGAAAATAAAACTAGTAAAAGAAAAGCTAAAATAATAAATAGCTACTTAAGAAGACCTTAGATAATTAAGAGCACTTAAAGAAAACTACTTATAAGAAGTTACTAAAACTATTAAAGTAGCTGAGAAGCTATAAACCTAAAGAGTTAAAGACTTTAAGGTATAAAACTAATAACTTATTATTAGACTAATCTAGATATAAGACGCTATATAAAATAAAAGTAATTAACTATATATAAAAAGAACCTTAAACACTTTTAATAAATAGTTATAACTTTAAATTAAAGTATAAAGTAACTACTAAAAATAATACTAATTAGAATAAGACTTTAAATAAACTATATATAAAGCTACTAGCTTTAATATATAAATAACTAATATTATTACTATAAGTAAAAAAGCTAGTACTTACTTAATTAAAATATAATAAATAACTCTAGATATTATAATAAAGATATTTAATAACTACTAAATAAGTATAATAAATAAATTATTTATAATATAATTAGGACTATAAAGCTACTATAAAATAAGCTAGATAAATTAAAATAATATATTAAGTATAAGAAATATATTAGAAAAAGACCTTATATAATAATAAAAATCTACTCTTAACTATACTAACTACTAGTATAAAACTTTATTAGCTAA